AAAACTAGACCAGGAGCTGACTGTGGCTCAGATCATGAGCTTCTCGTTGCAAAATTTAGGCTTAAGTTGAAGAAAGTAGGAAAAAGCACTAAGCCACTCAGGTATGACCTAAATCATATCCTGATGAATATACAGTAGAGGTGACAAATAGATTTAAGGAATTAGATCTGATAGACAGAGTGCCTGAAGAACTCTGGATGGAGGTTCGCAACATTGTACAAGAAGCAGCAACTAAAACCATCCCAAAGGAAAAAAAAATGCACGAAAGCAAAATGGCTGTCTAAGGAAGCTTTACAAATAGCTGAGGAAAGAAGAGAAGCAAAAGGCAAGGGAGAAAGATACACCCAATTGAATGCAGAATTCCACAGAATAGCTAGAAGAGATAAGAATTCCTTCCTAAATGAACAGTGCAAAGAAATAGAAGAAAACAATAGAACAGGGAGGACCAGAGATCTCTTCAAAAAAATTGGAGATACGAAGGGAACATTTCATGCAAAGATGGGCATGATAAAGGACCAAAATGGCAGGAACCGAACAGAGGCAGAAGAGATTAAGAAGAGGTGGCAAGATTACACAGAAGAACTATACAAGAAAGAGCTTAATGTCCCTGATAACCACAATGGGGTTTTCACTGACCTCGAGCCAGACATCCTGGAATGTGAAGTCAAATGGGCCTTAGGAAGTCTGAGCAACGACAAAGCTAGTGGAGGTGACAGTATTCCAGCTGAGCTATTCAAAATCTTAAAAGATGATTCAGTAAAAGTGCTATACTAAATATGCCAGCAAATTTGGAAAACGCAGCAGTGGCCACAGGATTGGAAAAGGTCAGTTTACATTCCATTCTCAAAGAAGGGCAATGCCAAGAATGTTCAAACTACCGCGCCATTGCACTCATTTCACATGCCATCAAAGTTATGCTCAAAATCTTACAAGCTAGGCTCCAGCAGTATGTGGACCAAGAACTACCAGAAGTACAGGCAGGATTTCAAAGAGGGAGAGGAACTAGAGATCAAATTGCCAACATATGCTGGATCATGGAGAAAGCTGGGGAGTTCCAGAAAAACATCTACTTCTGCTTCATTGACTGTGCTAAAGCCTTTGATTGTGTGGCTCACAACAAATTGTGGCAAGTTCTTAAAGAGATGAGAGTACCAGACCATCTTATTTGTCTCTTGAGAAACCTATATGCGGGTCAAGAAGCAACAGTGAGAACTGGGCATGGAACCACTGATTGGTTCAAAATTGAGAAAGGAGTTCGGCAAGGCTGCATACTGTCGCCCTGCCTATTTAACTTATATGCAGAGCACATCATGAGAAAGGCGGGGCTAGATGAATCACCAGCAATCTTAATTCCAACTGGTGATTCAT